TCCTTTGTACATTATAAGATAATAGGTTCTTTTTAGGTGGGACACTTTCCTTTGTACATTATAAGATAATAGGTTCTTTTTAGGTGGGGCACTTTCCTTTGTACATTATAAGATAATAGGTTCTTTTTAGGTGGGACACTTTCCTTTGTACATAAGATAATAGGTTCTTTATTAGGTGGGGCACTGTCCTTTGTACATTATAAGATAATAGGTTCTTTTTAGGTGGGACACTTTCCTTTGTACATTATAAGATAATAGGTTCTTTTTAGGTGGGGCACTTTCCTTTGTACATTATAAGATAATAGGTTCTTTTTAGGTGGGACACTTTCCTTTGTACATTATAAGATAATAGGTTCTTTTTAGGTGGGACACTTTCCTTTGTACATTATAAGATAATAGGTTCTTTTTAGGTGGGGCACTTTCCTTTGTACATTATAAGATAATAGGTTCTTTTTAGGTGGGGCACTTTCCTTTGTACATTATAAGATAATAGGTTCTTTTTAGGTGGGACACTTTCCTTTGTACATTATAAGATAATACGTTCTTTTTAGGTGGGACACTTTCCTTTGTACATTATAAGATAATAGGTTCTTTTTAGGTGGAAATGGCAATGGGTGTTGTCTTTTAAACTTATTCTTTCTCATGAGGCAAGCACCCTGTGTCTCTTTTGGAAAATGTGCACTATTCTCCAATTGTACTGGGACACAGTATCACTCCCACTGTATGAAATAAAAGATAATGGGACATAGTAACACTCCCAATGTATGAAATAAAAGGTAATGGGACATAGTAACACTTTCACTGTATGAAATAAAAGGTAATGAGACACAGTATCACTCCCACTGTATGAAATAAAAGGTAATGGGTCATAGTAATACTTTCACAGTATGAAATGAAAGGTAAAATCTTTTGCCAAAATAATGATTAATTGAAAGCAAAAAAAAACCAACCTTTTTATGTTTGGAGAAGTTGGACGGATCTCTGAAAGACTTGTCACAAAACGGACATGCATAGGGCTTCTCTCCTGTGTGCGTTCTCATGTGCCTCTTCAGGCTTGGCGAGTTCTTAAATATTCTCCCACACACCATGCACTTGTGTGGGTATCTTTTATGCAGTTCTAAATGCTGGGAGAGGAAGGACGCCGAGGCGAAAACTTTTGTGCATAGATGGCAAGGGAAAACAGACGGTATGCTGGGATCATCTGCCTCATAGTCCAGCTGCGACAAACTGTTCTGCTGCTCGGCGATATCATCTTCCGCGGCTTTATCGAGGTCGGGCGGAGGCAAAACTATGTCAGCACTTTCCGATTCACTGTTGAATGTTGAATTATCTTTGGGTTTGATATCTTTTGATTTCTTGTGTGTTTCTTTGACATTGTTCGGTAAAATTTCATTGGGATGATCACTTTCATTTAAATCTAAACAAGATGCTTTGGTATTTAAGACTGCGGTCTCACTCCCTATATTAGATTCTTTATCTATTGAGGGAGAGTGATATCCCTCTCCTATAAAGTAAACCCCGTGTTGACTCTGCAAGCGTTCTCTTAAATGCTCAATGGTCTCATCACTGCCAAACACATTGTGGGTGGGATTGGACCTAACGACAACACCATCTATCCCATTCTCCTGAGGCTCATAGCTCATTTCTTCATCACAGTCGGCGTTGACCGATTCATCATTCAAGGGAAGAGATCGGTCCAGCTCTACTTCTGCCGTTAGCACGGGCGGGTCACCGTAATTATCATCCTCCTCACAACTCATACATTTGAAAGAGTTTTGTGGAGCCGAGGCGAAACATCTCCCGCCCCTTTTGAAATTTTCCCCTTCCACCAGGGGCTCTCCACATTCAAAGCACATTAAATTTTCCGGCATTTCAGAGGGCTTACTGCGTTTCAGTGCTTCATCTATCTCACTCTGTCCTTTGTCACCACATAAGTCCAGCATCTTCTCATAGGAATCAATGCTTTCTACAATGGAAGATATACTGCTGTACAGATTAGGATCTTTCTGTATCAGGCTGTGTAAAGATGGGGGATCTTTGGGAAAGACTTGTTTCTCTTTCATGGCTTTGTCATTCTCTTTAACGGTTGGTGGCGCAAATGGCCTATGTTTTTTATTGACAGGGAGAGCGTCCTGAACATACTCGCTAACCATGAGTGATGTGCCCCTATCGTCAATACTTCCTTCTGAGTGCTCAGCGCCCGAGTATAAACTATCTCGACTGTGATCAAGGTCAAATGAGCCGTGCTGACCGGAACCACCCACGGCAACGAGCCCATCTCCGAACCCGCACACATTCTTCTGGTGTCTCACCAGGCTTTGCTTTTCAAGGAAGCATTTGTTGCATTTGAGACAAACAAAATTTCGCACCCCGGTGTGAATTTTCTGATGTCGTTTAAAACTGCCGGATTCGCTGAATGTTTTGAAACAGGTTTTGCACTGATATGGCCGCAGCCCCGTATGAATTCTCTCGTGCCTCTTCAGCCCATGTTTGTCCGTAAAGCTTTTGTCGCACCTGGAGCACTCAAACATTTTTGGGCGCTCACCGTGAGTTCTCTGATGCCGGATTAGACTGGCGCCGTCCCTAAAGGATTTAAAGCAAAGGTCGCACGGGTACGGCCGATCGTCATCGTGGGTTTTCATGTGCCTCTTCAGGCTGCAGCTCTCTACGAAAGATTTCTCACACAAGTTGCACTTGAACTGCCTGTTGCCAGAATGGGACTTCATGTGCCTTTCGTAGGATGCTCCATCAGCACAGATTCTATTGCATGCATCACAAACGAAACTTCCGCCAGCATTCTTCCCTTCTTCTTGGTATTCAAGTTTATGTTTTTGCAATTCTTCCTCGGGCTTATGGGCCAGACTTAATTTTTTCTCTTGCTTACTTTTTGGAGCAACATTGGTTAGGTCAGTGTTATTTTTAGCCACCCCATCTGTGATATTTTCACTGTTACTTTCTTCTAAACCATTTACAACTTCATCTTTCACACACTCTATTTTGTTTTCCCTGTCTGCTTTGAATTTGGTTTTGCGATTATTTTTCAGTGAAGACTTTTTGCCTTTCCTCATCTTTCCATTATTGTTATAATGGTTGGAATCAAGAAGACTGGATATTTCTTGTTCTATGTCATAGTCATACTCAAAGTCATCTTCCAAGTAGCTTGTCTTTTTTCTTGCTTTAATGCGATTAGACTTCCGTATATTTTCATTAGACATCCTTGTCGTATTTTAGAAGTGATCCAATCTTAGTCTCATTGTATATCTGTAGTCTTGTTGGTTCAACTTGAATTTAATAAAATGTAATATTTATATTCACAGTAACAAAATGCTAAAATAATTAAGATACATTACGAACAAATTTTTTAACCTGTAGAGCAAATGTCTTAAGTTGCTACCTGTAATTTAAATTTGTTATCATATATATATATATAAATATATATATATATATATATAAGTATAGAATTGAACAGAACTAAACTAACATTTCAATAAGGTTTGTGATCCCACCAGGGAACAGGATCCTGCTAGAGAATAAGGTCCCACTGGGAAATGGGATCCCACTAAGGAATGGGATCCCACTAGTAAATGGGTTTCCACCAGCAAATGGTTTGCAATGGTGAATATAAAATTTAATTTATTCCTTTAGTAATTTTTTTTTTTACAGGGCCCTTAACTTTGATGTCAGTGTTAGCTAAAAGGTTGTAGAAGGTTGTTTTTTTCTTCAGAATGTAATCCCGGGCAACGCCAGGTATATTGGGTAATTTTTCTTTTAATTTACTGTAAATATGAATGCTGTTTCTTCTAATGTAAATAACAAATAAATATTGTAAAATTACAAAAGAAGCAAATATAGGTACCGGGTATATAAAAATTATTTTTGATTGTACATTTTTAATGTGTTAACCACCCTCTGTGAAGTTAAAAGTTTTGATACAATGAGGCAGCACTATTTTTATGAACAGGGCTCACTTTCATGTTATCTTATTATTCTTTGCCTCATTAAATTCTTCTTCTAGTGGTGCACATCCCATTCACCAATTCTTTCATCCAGCCATGATACCCCTGTTCTGAGCTTTTCTGTCCAACTCATTCCACTTTTTAGTGTTACTCTCACTATCTCTTGTCTATGACATGACATGTCTCATGTCTGTGTGTTACATTCCAAGTTATTTTTATTCTGACTTATGACATGTTTTATGTTTATCCTGTGTAGAGCAGCTGCTTGATGGAGCTGGTAGAAACCAGTTGCTGAATTGGGTATACAAACTTTGAAATACACTTAATAAACTTTTATTGACATTCTATGTCTAAACTTTTTTGGTTTCTTTGTTTTATTTTTAAACTTTTTCTTAGTGTAACTTTTTTAATTGTTTGAAGAAAGAAAAACATTCTTAAGTCTTAAGGGCTGTAATAACTTGCACTTCTACATTCCATATCAATAATTAACATCAAGACTCAAGTTACTACTTATTTATTGTATCAGAATACGGAATTAGTTTAGGATCAGTAGTCTACTGAGTAGACAGTGTGTGTAGGCTTGTAATACTTGTATTGTTATTGTACCGGTAATTGCAATCATCTTGTTCACATTCAGTAGAGACACTGAAGTCTTGAGTTGACAAATGAATTGAGATTTTAAAATAAAATAAAACTTTAAAATACTGTAGTCAAATATTAGGCTCATTAAATTTATAAATTAATATTGTCTTCAAGACTTACGAGACTCTCACTAAGAATGGAACGAAAACATAATAATTTCATTTAGTCTCCGCATAACAAATATATAGTATATGATCTTTAAAATAATGACTAACAGTAGGGCTATTTAGGAGTACAAAAGCGCTTACTTTGTAAATTTAAACTTCTAACTTCCAATTGCAAGCATCACACACTACAACTTCGTGCCTCAGCAACGTCGTCTCCCTTAGCTGATGACGTTGTACGCTGCTACATACGCCGCCAACAACAGCAGCGCACAACTCTCTCATCGCAACTGCAGGTTTCGGTAGGCTGTGTTGGTTGGTTGTTCAGTTGCGATGGCGGTGATGAAGTCGTTTCAGTGACACTAGAATGGGTCACATAAGGAACATCTGACATGATATACAATGAAATTGTCAACAACAAAAAAAAGTACCGGGTACAGTCTACATGTAAACAAATCATTTATTAGGTCCTCGCACGTGTATTTGTTTTGGTTTTTAAAAAGTATTTTTGGGCTACTTTATTTCGGGACTATAGTCATAGAGGGGGAAAAAGGACATCCACCGAAACCATTGATAGCACCGAGGTGGGTTAATTTTTATTTTGTTAAAGAGGAATTGTAATTATATATATGGTTTATATAAAAATACTTGTAAGCTTTTACTATTAATATTTTATGAAACTTCGGATATATTTTTCGGTTTAAAAATGCGTAAATAATACGTTCGCATACAGGGATTATTATAACAAATAAGGAAAACAAATTATTAGGTGTGCTTATTCCATTACATAAAATAATGTTAAAAGAAGTAAATATCTACCTTTTATTCGCAATTATTAATTTTAATTAAAAAATTAAACAAGCCCTAAATACAAAGTAAGATTTTGACAAAACATGCATACAAGTAACACAATTTGTGACAACCACCCCCCCCCCTCCAGGCTCGCAACCGCACAATTTTTCACGCCCCTGAATTATATTAATATTCTAATGATTTACCCACTTTTACACTGCATATTTATTTCACGAATATTTCAGAAAATGAAAAGAAAATATTACGCACCAAACGAACTTGAGATATATTCTTTTTTTAAAAAAGAATATCATTTAGCACAATTATGGGGAATTTTATTTCGTGAAAGCAACGTCATCATATTTTATTCACCCTCCACTGGAAAAACGGGAAAGACTAATTTTTGGGGGCAGGGGCTGAAAATTTGATAGAATATGTTGTCATCGGCAAAAGGTCCATGTGCCAAGTTTCAGCTCTGTAGATTAAATGGAAGTGGGTCAATAAGCCGCCCGAAGACTTTGCCAGCCACCCAGCCAATCAGCCAAAAAAAAAAAAAAAAAAGCGAAGTAAACATAAAGACTTTAATTAAATAACCAATCAAATCAAAGTGTTTCGCACTAATCCTTTATACAAATGTGATCTCGGGCAATATCGGCAAAAGGTCCATGTGCCAAGTTTCAGCTCTGTAAATAAAATGGAAGAGGGTCAATAAGCCGCCCGAAGACTTTGCCAGCCACCCAGCCAATCAGACACAAAAAAAAAAAAAAAAAGCGAAGTAAACATAAAGACTTTAATTAAATAACCAATCAAATCAAAGTGTTTCGCACTAATCCTTTATACAAATGTGATCTCGGGCAATAGGGACGGGGTTGAAATTGTGACGAAACATGAATACAAGTAACGCATTTGATAAGAATTCCAGTTAGTGCTCCTCCTCACAAGGCTCGCAACCGAATTTTTTTTTTCCACGCCACTGAACTATATTGATATTCTAATGACCCAGCCTCGTTTACTCTGCAGATTTATTTCACCAACAATTGAAGTGAAAACATTATAAAACATTACGGTACGCACCAACCGCACTTGCGATATTTAGTTTAAAAAAAAAAATCTCATTTAGTCCAGTTATCGGGAATTAGACTTTATTTTCCCCTTGAAAAAACCCCAGGAAAAAATGATTAAAAAAAATATATATTTGGGGAAGGGGTGGGTTGGGGGTGGGGCTAAAATTTGATATAATGTGTTTTAATCTGCAATTAGACTATGTGTCAAGTTTCAGCTCGATAACTGGAAGGGAAGGGGCTCAATTAGCCGTCCGAATATTTTCCCATCCAGCCAGTCGGTCAGCTAGTCAGGGACAAAAGCGAAGTTAATCTAAAGGATTTCAAAATAGTGTTCTGTGACAAGGATGTTTCAACCGGTGCGTCGCCAACCCTCCCGTGTTTGGTTGTTCTGTGACCATGACGTTTCAACCTGTGCGTCGCCAACCCTCCCGTGTTTGGTTGTTCTGTGACAAGGATGTTTCAACCGGTGCGTCGCCAACCCTCCCGTGTTTGGTTGTTCTGTGACCATGACGTTTCAACCGGTGCGTCGCCAACCCTCCCGTGTTTGGTTGTTCTGTGACCATGACGTTTCAACCGGTGCGTCGCCAACCCTCCCGTGTTTGCTTGTTCTGTGACAATGACGTTTCAACCGGTGCGTCGCCAACCCTCCCGTGTTTTATTGTTCTGTGACAAGGATGTTTCAACCGGTGCGTCGCCAACCCTCCCGTGTTTGGTTGTTCTGTGACAATGACGTTTCAACCGGTGCGTCGCCAACCCTCCCGTGTTTTATTGTTCTGTGACAAGGATGTTTCAACCGGTGCGTCGCCAACCCTCCCGTGTTTGGTTGTTCTGTGACAATGACGTTTCAACCGGTGCGTCGCCAACCCTCCCGTGTTTTATTGTTCTGTGACAAGGATGTTTCAACCGGTGCGTCGCCAACCCTCCCGTGTTTGGTTGTTCTGTGACAATGACGTTTCAACCGGTGCGTCGCCAACCCTCCCGTGTTTTATTGTTCTGTGACAAGGATGTTTCAACCGGTGCGTCGCCAACCCTCCCGTGTTTGGTTGTTCTGTGACAATGACGTTTCAACCGGTGCGTCGCCAACCCTCCCGTGTTTTATTGTTCTGTGACAAGGATGTTTCAACCGGTGCGTCGCCAACCCTCCCGTGTTTGGTTGTTCTGTGACAATGACGTTTCAACCGGTGCGTCGCCAACCCTCCCGTGTTTTATTGTTCTGTGACAAGGA